GAAGAAATTCCGATAGACCACGGCTTCAAAGCCCGGAAAACATTCCTAAATGTAATTTATTTTTTATTTTGAAGCCGTGGTCTATCGGAATTTCTTCCTGACGTTTCGTCCACAACTGCGCTGGACATTTTCAAAGGCGATGAGGCAGTGGGCGAAGTGATCTCCCGTGCTTTCCGATTCTTAGTCGGAAGAAAGAAGAAGGAAGAAATTCCCATAGACCACGGCTTCAAAGCCCGGAAAACATTTCTAAATGTTGTTAACTTCTTTACGCAGGTGGAACAACAACGTACCCAGGAGAAAATTGCGAAAAAGGAAAAGGCGATGGCCGCCCGAACATTGCTGACGCCCACATCGTTCCTGGGGGTAGCCGATTTGGCCCACTGGTTACACAAGTACCAGAATCCCACGAAATACAAAAACGCCCAGAAAGCTGAAACCAAACAAATAGGGAGTTAAAACCACAATGAAAACGCTGCTCTTTTCTTACCAGAAAAGGCAAAGTCAGCCAGCACATAGTGTTTTCGGGTTTTGGCCGAGGACATCTGTTCGAACAGGTATTCCCCTACCAGGAACCCCATGCTGGCCAGAAATGCAATAACACTAATACCGACGCCATAATTACATGCGTTAGTGTCTCCATTGTAGAGGCATACCAGTTTCTTGCCATCTGCCTCAGGCTGCCAGGCCTGCGATGAAATGCATCCGAACACTATTATGGAGAAGAGCTGCAAGTGACATGGGAGATGAGCGTGTTTTTTCAACCAGTTTCAACACCATCAACAATCGTTGCTGGCGTCAAGATTTAAGTAAACCACTTTGCCAATACACATAAACAAATAGTTTAACAGTACAGTTTTCCACTGACCCTCTTGTCGACTAAATCCTGAAAGGTTTTGACAGTGACTGCCGCTTATTTGCCCCATTTATAGGGCGTATGGAAGTGCCATTAATAGACGATAAATTGCAGTTTTTATGGTCAAATTTGCTCGTGCTTGAAACACTTTGACCTTAATCTGAAATAGGCGGATCCCAAATTTGCTCATAGTTAATGTTTATGCCATTTATTGTCAATAAAAGCATACAAATATTGACATTCCAAAATTGGCCAATTTCACCTAAATGGAATACGTTGCGGCAATCCAATTAATGAAAATCCCCAAGAAATGTAATTATTTAAACATTAACTTGGCGAGCTGGGGATGACAGTAAGGGTGACCTATATGACCAGTTAAAAATCAATATCCTCCCTCTGTCCTGGACCGTTCCAGTGCACCGTTGCGAACAAACGAAGGGCCCAATTAAATAATTGAGCATCCAACTTACCCAGGAAACTGCTCTTAGGATCACTTGGGGCCTTTGAACGAAGGAAATTGGGTCAAAAGCTCCTCCGGCCTTTCCACCTCCGTAAGCTCCGGCACCCTCCATGTTTTGATTTGATCGACTACCAAGCACCGCACAAGTCGTCAACTGGACTACTGTTCATACGTTGTCATTATGTGGCCAAATAAATACACAGCTGTATGCTATAAAATTTTTCTTACTACCTACTTAAAGTCTTTAGCAGCCATTGGAGTATTTTTCAGCCATATATTTACTTCAATCAAATTATTATTATTGAAAACTGCAATTATGAACACTGTCTTTCGTTCCATTGTGTGTTCGGTTCCCAGCTCAACGAAGAAACCCGAAGAAATTCGAAAAATAACAGGAAACACCTGATTTTTGGGAAATTTTATTTGGACCAGTCCATCTATCTGAATATTAAAAATTTTAACCATGCACAAAATATAAACTTTAAATATATTTTATATTAGTAGCAAGTTTTTAGCGCCTACGTAAGAACACAAGTTAAATGCATAACCACAATACCATCCTCCTCATGCTCCATTTTGCTTTAATTATACATTCGCCATTTTGTTTTAAATTTTATGCGCCATTTTGTCCAGACAAGTAAAACGCAAAAATCTAATATTTTTCGAGTTTTTTTTTAAATTCGAAGAATGACACTGAAGTTGTTTGTAACCCAATGTTAGTTAGTTAGTAAATATTTTACTTTCTCTATGCTCGGAAGTCTCTGCCTCAGCGCATAGAAACGAAACTCCTGAAGTTTGTCACATCGGCAAAGCTTTTCAAAGCGCTGATTGTTTATTATTTATTTATTTTATTTCAAAAACTTTATTGGCTAATTTGCTTAATTGATTTGGTCTGTAAACATTTTTCAACCCTTCGATAGAGGTCGCTAGATTTATTCGAAGGTTGAAAAAGGTTTACAGATCAAGGCAGCCAACAAAAATTCGAATTAACCAGGCTGTCTTTATCTATTCCGTTTGCAATATTTAAAAAAGTGCAACAGAAGACAAGTGTTCTTTGTAACCTCTATGTCCATCACAACCATCACAACATAGCCTTACTTTCTTAGAACTTGCTAGGAAATATTTCACTGAACACAGTATGGGACGTAAAATCCCGGGTAAGAAACATAGGGGAGTGAACGATCCAGAAAAACAACAAGCTGAAAGATTGGCAAAGTAAGTGAAGTGATCCAATCAATGATCAATAGTCAAATTTGCAATGCAACCGTTTTTTAGAATCAAAGACAAAATCAATGCGCCGCCCTTGAATCCTGAAGACCAACAAGTTCCTCGCAGTCTTTCACGTATTATTGAGCTGAAGAATAGGGCAAAACAGGGACTTTTTAACAAGAAGCAAAAGAAAAAAGAAAAAAGTGCGCAAAAACCAAAAATTTCCAAGGGAAAGCCAGAGAAGCCATTTCCAAAGTTTGAAAGGCGCCCTGGAGAAAGTGATTGGATATTTAAGCGGAGAATGAATAGAATATGTCAAGATGTCATCAGAGAAACGGCCTTTGAAGATAAGTACAATGTGGACATCAAGCGAAATGAAGACGGTGAGGTATTATTAGTCACAACATTGAATTGATCCACATTTACCTAGAGCGGTTGTTTTTACCTCATAGGTCGAAGGAGTGGAGAAGCGACCCAAAGATGAACTACAAGTTCTTATGAAAAAAGTCAGAAAGGAAAATAAGGAAGCCAAAACGAAGAAAAAAAAGAAGAAACCGCGTGCAGATTCAGAGCCAAAGCTAACAAAGTCCCAAAAATGGGCGTTGAAACAGGCGGAAAAGAAGCGAAAAAAGCAATTGGCCACTGATCAGGATCACAGCTATTTGCCACAGAAAGAGCAGATTAAGTTTGGAGAAATTGTCCATGCGCCGCCGTCTCTAGTGGCCCCCCGGCGCGTTGATAAATCGCAAGAAACCCCAAGAGTAAGTGCGCATCAACTTCGAATCATTTTATACATTTTGGCTCATTTTTTTCTTTAGCCTGGTCAAAAACAACTGCTTCTCAAGTCAATATTCTCAAATAGCGAGAACAGTAGCGGCACATCCAATAGGCCGCTGCATAGCACGAAAAGCAGTGTTTCAAACGCTTCAAAATCCATAAACAAGAAAGGGAAGCGCAAAGATTTGCCGCACGCCATGCGGAGACAGCTGGATAAACAACAGAAAGAAATTATCGAAGCTTACAAGATACTGAAATCCAAAAAAATTAAAACAACCAATTGAGCAAAGCACAAAAATGTAGTTTTAATATGGAAATAGAAAACATCATATTATTGCACAGTCCTTAAATCTCTCCAAAGCGGATAACGGTACTGTTGCCATATTAAAGCTAACTAGATAGTAACAAAGCAAACACTTGGTTTGCAACTATATAAGGAACAATTATAGATATACACTGTATAAGGAAGGCACTTAGTAATAAAATGTAATATAAACATAACGCAGTCCTAAAATTAACTCTTTTGATTCAACAAGAAACAGAAAGTACTTAGAATATGTATCTACATTACAACAAGTAATACTGCTCACGGCTTGTGGCGGAAAATGCACTTAAACAGTAGTTTCTCAAAAAATAAACATAATACTTCGACACGACACTAAAAATAACACAAAATCCTGTGGATAACAAAGGAAACCTTGTAAATGTAACAAAAAAACATCAAAAATCTAAACTATTAGGGTCCTTGTCGGACAAGTGCTCAAAGATAGACATCAGTAGTTCGCGATAGATAATGGGATTCAACATTTTCCCGATGTTATACAGAAGGAAAAACTGCCCATGAGACACGCGTTTCCCAACAACTTTGACTTTCTTCCTGCTTAAACTGCGTGCCTGGGCCATTAGCAAGAAGATTCGAAATTGCTGCGAGGTGAGCACTGTAATTCTGTAGAGTAAAGCGCATATGGTGACCGCAAAGAGAAAAATCATCCAGAACCAAATGAGCAGGAAGAACTTCTCGTTTAAAGTATTCAATGGCAGTATGCAGAGCGCATCGTGTGTTTGCACTGATCCTGACGGACCGAACCTCGAGTACGTGCATTTGGTCTTCTTAGGGAAAACTTTGTTGAACGTGTACGGCCATGGTTCGATCATAACTTCGTATCCGTAATGAGAAAAATTGCCATTCAGGTACCAATTCATCAAAACGAATTGGAAAATCTAATACATAAACAGAGGTGAAAATTCGTAAACAATTTATCACCGTCCCCGCACTTACCAAAATTATAAAGTTCAATAATTCACAGAAAGCAAAGCGATACGCGAAAGTGTTATGATTCTCGTTGCTCAAGATGTACGTTCTGATTTTATACTTGTAAGATTTCGTCCATTTCTCAGATACCAAAGGACCACCTATGAGATAAATAAAAACAAGGGTTTGTACACATATTTTTAAACCCAACATACGAAAAGGAAGAGCAAAGGAATATCAAAGTACTCACATAGATCCTTAACGATTTGCCCCAGACGGTCTCCTTCCCAGGATTTCCACAAATACCTGGGCACATAGAACAGTAAGGCTTGTATGCAAAACAGCAAACATATCCATTGATAGTACAAAAGGGAATAGGTGGTCTTGCCTACTTCGTTACCAAGTCCACCTAATGATTGGGAGGACAAGTACGTGTCTGCAGCAAAAGGAGAATTATAATAGAAACAGTTCGCAATAAAATTGAACATTTCATGCTAAAGTTTCAGAGAGTAATTGGAAACAACTTCCAACTTTTGGAAATATCTACAATTGTCTTATGCGTTCACATGCTCGCTATAGAGTATACGCCCTTCATGAATGAATCAATCATGAATGGTTCATTGCAGTCTCAGCACCAAAATATCATAGATGAGAGGGCATATGTAGAAATAACGCTTCCATTGTTCAAATGATTTCAAACTAGAATTGGCGTTCTGTTCACAAGGAAGGTATCATTAAATAAACAACGAATTTTAGGCAAGTGACACATCTGATGCATATATCTATAGCCACTGACAAGAAATGTAATTATGCCAATTGATGTTTTCATGCTGGAAAACTTACTTTAAAGAACTATTAAACCATTTTATTAACCTCGACATCAATCATAAAAAATGGAATGCTGTCATTAACACTGTTGCTTATACTACTGGTCAATAAAAGTCAACTCAGTACTTGTTCTAAGCACTTTGTAGTGTAACACATTAGATCATACACCACCACTTGCTACTTACTATACGATGCTCAACGTTAGCAATAAAACCGAGTACCACATAAACGTTACATACCTTGAAGCGTTTCCTGGACGGTAAAGGTTCCCGACGACCAGCAAATAACATCGACAATTTCCTTTTTAAGCGACTCCACGTCGCAGTGAATGGGATCCCCAAAATATTGCTTACTAGACAATAGTATGGAAAACACGAAAAACATGATAACTGAAAACTTGTAGTACAACTGAAATACGTTATTATCGGTACGCGCGTTGTCGTTTCTGATTAGGTTTTGAAAGTTTCTTAAAAAGTCCTGCATTTTGAAAACCCCGCAGCTTCGCGCGAACCGATTAAAACAAAAAGAACTGAAACTAACTGACAAGTAATCAAATTGACAGTTACGTAAAGCTCCCCAACGTTGCCAGCGCCCCAAAGTTTAATTTAAACATTTACTTTAACTAGAAGTCAATGTTAATTTTAGCTAGAACATATCATTTTTATTTTTGTTATACCTATAAGGCTAATGCAACTTCACTTAATGGATAAGCGATTTACAAAGAACAATTCAAGCAAAATATATTTCCGGAAACAAAATGTTTATACAGATTTAAGACTTTTTTGATAAAATATACGGCAGATAATAATTTTTTGATCTTTCTGTTACTGCTTGTAACATTCCTAGTTGAATGGTGATTCTCTGAAAATATATTTGATGCCTAACTGAGCATTGCCAAATGTACCAAATCTAGATTTTAACCGTTGAGCTGTCAAGCAACTGCCAATTTATAAAAACAATTAGAAAAGTTTCATTCCTGATTTTCATTTTCAGCAGTATTTTTTCGGTATGTCTGCTCATCCTTAATCGTTCTTAACCATTTCCTGTTTGACCTAACTACTTAGTTGGTTAAGAAAAATATTCAAAGCAAAAATATCCTTCAACCGGAGGATCAACGAGTGGAGACTCGTTCTGCTCAATCATTTCATAATGGAGATGCCAGGGAACATAAGAAACCCTAATTTATTCGGTAGCATAAGTGCTGTAAACAGCTTGAATGGAAGTAACAATTTGGAGAATCGTTTTTTAAAAATGAAGATGCTGGTGACTGCCGTTGAGCAGTACTTAGAAACGAGGAACGATGATCAACTTAACATGATCAATCAATATCTGCAGGTACGTACGAGTAGTACGTGGTTTTTAGAGGGTTTCAAGAGTTCTTTCAGGGGCTGAGTTTGAGTTTGGACTTGAGCCTGTACGATCCGGACACAAACATGGCAGGCAATTTTTTTCTGAGTATTTATGAGCTCATGAACAACTTGGAACCGAGATCTCTGACAAGTTGGCACTGTGTGGATGTGCTTTTAAATTGCTGCAAAAACTCGGGGGCTCGAAAAGCTCTGATGACCACCTACAAGTTCTTGCCATGCCTTGCCAGGATGATGTGCGACCAATTGCCCACCAAAAAGAAAGTCAGCTTGCTTAGACTGGTGCAAAACATAACTTGCGGCATCAAAATTCAATGGCAGATTCCCCACATAACACACTTGATTACTAGTTTGTGCAAGTGGATTGAAAGGCAGCAGCCGGATCACGAAGTTCTGGAACTCTCCTTGGCTGTTCTGGTAAACCTGTGCTACAAGAACGTATCCAGCGTGTACATATTACAACATCATACCGATTTGAAAAAGTTCATCAGGATGTGTCTCTCATTGAAGGTAGACCGCTTTTTCGCCGGCTTGCCACCTACTGGGCATTTTTCAATTTTTTTCCATTTCAGGGCATGATTGTTGAATTGTACGTGTGTGAAATGGCTCTGATTCTGGAAGACATTTCAGGATATATTCCTGGCGTCTTGTTCCCTAAGCTCATAGACAACACTTTCATGGCCTGTATAGAGACTTACAGGAAAAGGGACAATCTCGTGTTTAAGCAAGTGATTGAATTCTTTATGGTGTTTGCCAAGAATAATCCTGCAATGACTTCCGCACTGGCTGCCTACGACAAGTATGGTGAGCGCGTTGGCAGCATTTTGGAAGTAAGAGCGAAACGAGGTCTTCTTCTCGAAATTCCGTTAAAAAATCACTTTTCCCAGCTAATTGAACGATCAAGTGACCAAAGCGACCAAGACCTGGAATGTGTTGAGGCACTTCTAGAATTCATCGATTTCTTGATCGAAGCGAAAGTGCCTCAAATATCCAGCCTCTACGGCAGGATAATACCATTGGCCTTAAACTGGATGCAAGAAATGACTACATCTTACCGAGCTCTCTCCGTGCTTCGCGACATCGCCATTAATGTGGATCAAAACGAAAGCAAAATCTTGGAATTTCTCATGGCCAGTTTGAGAATGTTCATGTTCACTCTAAAGTGCTGCCAAGATGAAAAAATGATGGCCAGCACCGATTTCATAAAGCGGTACGAGTTTGCATGTGGTTACTTGCAGTGTTTGTTTGTCTACACATTCACTTCCATACAGACTAGGAGCGCTTTTGCAGTTGTTGACGGCAATGATTCAAGTTGAGTCGATGCGTGAAAAGGTCATGCAGGAAATACAGCAGGATGTGTTTCGAAGCATCTTCGCTTCTTTGCTGGGGGACAGCTCGCCTCGCTCTGGAGACTCGCCTAGTTCCTGCAAAATAGAAGCTGTAAATTTGTACCTTTATGCGCTGGCACTGCTAGCTAAGCTAGCTGAGCGCAGTAATGAGTGGCTGGATTATTTAAATGAACTGCTACATGACAGGTAGATAGACCACTTACTACTCTAACACTTGAGCAAAGTAGAAATTTGTTAACAGGCAAATCCATGTTGTTATTGCCCAAGCGATTAGCCGCAGTCCACCTAATGTGAAGCAATTGGCGCTGGAACTTTCGTTGACCTGTTCGCGTAAAGTCTCATTCGCTTTAGCTAATCTACAGTCCTTCATGTCAACAGGTATATTAGGCAATTTTATTCCTTCCGCCCATCTGTGCAAGGTGGTTTTCTTTGCAGACACTTGTGGACATCTCAACATCTCTGCGGATGTTGGCGTAGGCTTAATACCAGTCGTACAATCTGAGAGATTGAATATTCTGCTGGAAAATATCGAGGTAATGAGATCGTTTTCAAGTGACATGCAAAGGTAAGTCTTTTCCCCGTTACAGAAGGCAATTGCAAGAAATGAAATCGACAACGTGGCAACCTCAGAGCTGATGGAGTGTTACAATTTTAAGATTTCCTACCTTGCGCAAGCAGAAAGAGCGGCGCTTTCCAGTTTGGAAGCGTCTACTAAACACTGCACACATTTGCAACACAGGTAAGTTTTGTAGGAAAACTGTGATAATTCTTACCAACGGTTTGTTAAATTTTAGAATATCGCGTCTAACGCCCGAAAATGCCAGACTTCAACAATCCGAATTGCACATAACTCGAAAACTGGAAGAAGTAACGACAAAGGCCGAAGATTTAGAGAATAAATTGCGAAATTTTCGGAATAAGTAAATGCAGAAAATGCATTGTTTTTCGGTGGTTGTCAAGAGATTTTTTTAGATGCGATGCTGAGAAAGGACGGTACAAAGTTCTACATTCGCAGTTCTTGGAAAAAGACAAAGCTTTGGGCGAGTGTAGGGCGTCATTAGCAGACGCTGAAAACCAACTGGCCAAGTTGCAGAGTGCACTTGACGACTTGGAGGAGACACGTAAAAAACAAGAAAAGCAAGAACAATTGGCGAAAGAGCAGATTACAAAGGCCGAAGAAAGTAACAAGAATTTGGCAACGGTAAGAGTGATATTTTGAGGAGAAATTGTTTTTAGTTTTTTGTGGCATTTTGCAGCAAATTCAAGACTTGGAGAAGACTTTGAGGGAAAAGGAGAAATTATTAAAGGACACTAGAATTGATTTAGAGCTGAAAACGAACATTATTAATAATATTACGAGAATGGCTACATCTTCTTTGGCGAGATGAAGTATTAGTAGTAGCAACTAGTTAGTTTGTTTCTAAAACTTACTGTAACTTACATACCTATTTTAATGCTGCAATAAATTGAAGCTAGCAAAAGGCCACGTATATTCTTCCATTTTATAGCTGTAAGTGTAAAGTTCACATGCTACTAATAGAGGAACTTACGAGGAACGGAAATGGCCTGGGGAGCCCCATTTACTGTCAAATATGACACTGACAAGCGGGAAGTTTCGCACCTGTTCTGGAGATTTCTAGAACTATCTGGAATACCTGGAGAAAACTATAAAAGCGACGGGGAGAGTGAAGTGACAGCCGCGCCTGAGTGCAGAAGAGGTTAAACTCCGGGAGTCGGAAAAGCGAGTTTTCCGCCTGTTACTGTTTGTGAAGTTAGTTTGTTCCTGTTCTGTAGGTGGATGGCCGAGTATTAAACTCTTTCTTCAGCTTCCAACTTTTATTCCACTCGGTACAATATTTCCAGTGACAAGAAATAGGAGTTTTTTAAGCAAAACGTCGTCCAACCCTTGCGCATGGTCACCAGCCCTCCCTTGCAAAAGTGTGCCAGCATTGTCAAGCATGTCAATGTAACATTTAGAGTCACTCTTTGCCAACCTCTTGCAAGTAGAAGCGGCTGTAACAGCATGTCAGGGTGCCAATTTGAAGGTCCCACAAATGTATTGTCTTTGCTAATCTATTGTACAGTAGACAACAGTTTAATGCTGACTTTGGAGAACGCCAATAGCGATCACTGGATGCCATCCGTCAAAGCCGACACAAATGTGAGTTGGGCCCGATTAATTGGCAAAGAAGCTCAAGAGGTAAGCAGTAAACTATGGTTAAACTGAGAATGCTTGAGTCCCGATGTTATGCAGATAGTTGGATGCAAATCCCCAGTGAAGCTGCTACGTCTAAACAAAATCTGGTATCCGGGAGCAGAGAGATGCATTACGTACTACCACTGCGTGTTCCAGTTGAACGTGGACCTGCCTACTAAAAACAAGACGAAAAACACCATGGGCAAAGTACGCCCCATTGAACCTTCTAAGTTCGCTTCGACTATTTTCCTTAATTGACAGTATCGGGGGAAAATTCGTTGGATTGCCGAGTCCGACCTGTTGGGTCTTCTGCAGAGCAACAGCTTGAAATCGCCGGAACTACTAGAACTCTACCAGTTGACCACGGAGGCGGAATTGGCCAACTTGAACATAGATCCGCCCGACGACATGATTTTCTCGAAAAATGTGTGCGAAATCACTGACGAGATATTGGTGTCGGGCAAAGCTACGAACTTTCAGCAACTCGTCGAGGCCTCAGGAATCGATAAGTTAGGTCGGTTTCATTTGGGTGCAAAGCGCATCTGTTACGTTTGGTCTTTCAGTACAAGAAGACATATACAAGAGCATTTTCATTGCTCTGTGCTTTCCGGCAACGTACATGAATTTGAGAGCATTTTCCAAGTTCATTTCCGAAGTGGGGTGGCCCAAGCCCCTGGCCCCGTACCTTTTCAGGTATGAAAGCAGTAGTATTCGACGATTTGTAGCTCTTAAGGGCTTCGCTTAGGTGCGCGGACTTGGCCAACCGATACGGCTTGTCCTTTCGAGAGCTGCTCTATTTCCTTGCGTCAGTCGACCCCAATACTGGTCATGGAGGCACAGCTGCCGAGCTACGATGCAGATACATGTTCAAGTCAGTATAACATCCTTCATGTACGTTGCTGCGATGATCTGCGCCTTTCCAGGTATTACGACCGGGATAGAGACAACGTCTGGAAATCCGAGGAGTTCAAGCACTTGATCTTGGACCTACGAAAGTCGAAAAAGCTGCCAATAGATGCGACCAACGTGGTCAAAGAGACGCAAGAGACGTATAAGGCGATGGCAATTACGGACTCTCAAACCATCAACGTGAACGATTTTCTGAGAGCGGTTTGCGACTTGAAAATCCGAGGAACGTCGCATATTTTCCGGTCCGGGATCAGTATCGTAAAATACTTGAAGGACATGGGGTTCGTCGGCAGGTACTTTGCTGATGAAACAAAAAGGTTCACCGGTTCCAATCCAGGGACAACAAGGACAAATCGTCGCTGCTGGATGCTTCTTATGCGCTGCCCAAACCGCCTGGCACAGTTAACGGCACTGTGGCCGAAAGCCCCCGAGGAAAAATGACGTTAAAAAATACTGACTACGAAATTGCCGTTCATACTGTGAAGATTCAAAGAAGCGGCCAGGCCATCAATATTGATGAAATGAAAGAGGTGGGCATTCAGTACACTTTGCCAAAAAAACTGTTTGAATTTGTTCGGAACGCTTGATCTAGATCCAAGAAGCGGTGTCAGCTACCACACTGAAACAGCCAATCAACGAATACAACAAAAGAACGTCGTTGGACATTTTCAGTCAGCGCTCAGTGTCGAACGAGGTGCTCAAGGGGCTGAGGTACCTCACCACTATCAATAATATCAAAGACACGAAAACGTCCTACACTTGGGGCCAATTAGACCCGCCTACCTATGCAAGAAATCTGATCCAAGTGTGCAACCAAGTGAGGGAGATTTTCCGAAACGAGCCCAGACTGTTGGAGCTCAGCTCTCCGGTCTACATTATGGGTACTTAGTTCAGAATGCAGAAGGTTTAGTGCAAGTACACTAAGTAGGCCGAAAATGGATCTTCCAGGAGATCTTCATGGAAACGTCGCTGATCTTCTCTACTTTGAACGAACTCTATGGCATATCGGCCCGGGGCTCAGCCCTTGCAACTTGCTGTTTCTGGGCGACTACGTGGATCGCGGGTCTTTTAGTATCGAGGTGATTTCTTATCTGCTCTCCTACAAGTTGCAAAGTCCAAACAAGGTGAACTTGCTGAGAGGTAACCACGAAATCAGGGAGGTACAGAAAATGTTCACATTTTACAAGTAAGAAGAAGAGAGCAGGAAGTCGAAGAGTTGTGTGAAAGAGTAAAAATTGCAGAAAAACTCAATAGTACTGTTTTGCAGGGAGTGCTGCTTAAAATTGGGGGAAAAACTGGGTACGGAGGTTTGGAATGCTGCTAATAACGCGTTTGATACAATGCCCATTGCGGCTACAGTCGATGGAAAGGTGAGCCTTTTCAGATGAGTGTCAATACTTTGGAAATTTCATCTTCTTGCAGATATTTTGTTGTCATGGCGGAGCGCCTCCTCCATGGTTGTGCCCAGTGATAACAGCCATCAACGACATCCCAACTGTGCTTAGTCAGCCAGACAATCAGAGTTCTTTGGCTTGGGAGCTGATGTGGAATGATCCGGTCAGGTAGGGAATCACAAAAATATTTCATTGATGCCAAGCAGTTTTGGTCCAGTTAAAGCTCCTTGTTTATGTGGAAATATCTATTTAGTTATATATTAAATCAAATTCATTAAAAAATATCAAACTTATTCCTGGGTTTCAGTCATTTATTGTCTCTATTTATCAATCAAAATACGTTTCGGTGTATTTTTCCACCATCATCAGTTTTTATGTGTAGCGTTGT